TCTAGTCTGACCCACTGCATAACCCAGATCAGAGAATATGTGGCGGGGTCCTCACCCCACACCAGCCCTAACAGGGTCAAGGAAGCTGAGAAAAGGCCAGTTAGTGAGATAGACCACACATGTGGGGTTAGGCTAGAGAATCAACCCCTGACTGGAGGATGAAGCTCAGCTGAGCAGTTGTGGGCTGGGTTAGGATAAAGCCAGGAAGCTGGCAACAGAATGGCTGCCGTGAGGAAGTCTGTAACCACCCTCTGTGCATCAGAGAGAGAAGGAGGGAACTGTTTTTCTTGTCCTGGCCTTTTTCTTGTCCTGGCCTTCCTTTCTAATTTGTTGCCGTTCTATCTCCGGGTCTATGCCCTGTGAGTTCTCTCTGATTGAGCCCCTCTTCAGTCTCTTTTTCCACGTTCCGCAACAGATCATGTGTGCTCCTAGACACCCATATTGCTAACACACCACCCCTGTTCCGGCAGAGGGTGGACTCCTCCCTCCTTTTCTCAGTCCCTTGTCCTGCCTGAGCATTTTCTGATGTCTTCCCCATCTCCTGTCCCAGCAAGGGATGGCCTGTCCTTCTGGGTAGGTTGGCCTCTAAGAATTCTTTAGTGAGCTTCACTGCACTGTCCAGTGCTGAGGGTTGGTGCCGGTGCACCCATACAGAATAACCCGCATTTACCCCTGTGACATGTGTTTGACTAAAGCATACCTTCCAGAAAGTCTTGGTCTGAAGACAACCAGAGACAGAGAATACACCATTCCCCTTGCAGGTTTGTTCCAATAATTAGACGCCCTCACGGTTAAAAATGTGCCTTATTTCAAATTTGAATGTCTCTGGCTTCAGCTTCCAGCCATGGGTTCTTCTTTTGCCTTTCCCTGCTAGAGTAAAGAGCCCTTTATACCTGGTATTTTCTCCCTGTAAAGGTCCTTAGATGCTGTCATCAAGTCTCCTCTTGATCTTCTTTTTGATAAACTAACCATTGAACTTCTTAAGTCTCTCTCTGTAAGGTGTTTTGTCCAGGCCTTGAATCATTCAGTCTTGCATTCCTGAGTCCCACCACACCAGATTATGACTCCTGGGACAAAGCTTTGGGACATCTGCTCCAGCATCTTCCTCCGTCACCTGTCTCCGGCCAGCTGTGGGTGACAAGAGGTCATTCAGTTGCCCTTCCAGAAGTGGCCGCTCCTTATGGGCGCCTCCTTTTTGGAGGTGTCCAACCTGCGATACCTAGGCCTGAAGATGCAGGTGCTCTGCACTTCTGAAAATCAGGTTCTGGATGGCTCTAAAAGGGTGAAGTGGAACTGGAGAAGAAGAGGGCCAGGTTTTGGGAAGGTCCTAGTGTGGTGGGACTCAGGAATGCCAGGCTGCTATTCTCAGACTTTAGAGCCTCAGCAGGTAACAGCAGCCTCTCTGCATGCTGCGTAAAGATCTCTCTCTTGCAACTCTGCCTGCCTACCACATCGGTCGTTGCTAATGCAAACGGCTCTAGTAGGGCACCCCCAAGGACTGCCACAACCTAAATCGGTGCCCACTTTTGAAAATGTTGGCCACGGTAGCCGTGTAGCAGGCGTCAGATGAACGGGGAAGCCTAAGGGAGGATTCGGGCTTTTCCACTGTAGCATACGAAGGAGTGGAAGGAAGGCCCCTGTAGCAGATGCTACAGGGATGGGCGCACTGGAAGTGCTGCCTTAGCTCAGAGGAGACTCGTTCCACACACAAGTGTTTTAGTCACTGGCTAAGGCAGGAAGCTGAACTCCAGAAAGGCAGAGATCAAAGTGGAAAGGGAACTTGCTGCCAGCCAAGGCCCCCAGCACTCTGGGATCATTACAGCGAAGGTGTGAGCTGGGAAGGAAAGAGTGAGCTCATCCCACCTAGCACACTGGCTGCCTTTGGAGAGACAGGGCACTTAGTCTAGGGAGAAGCATCCACTGCACTCAGGCCACCTTCCTGCCTGGGGCAGGTGCTCACTGACGTATTATGGGGTGCCAGGTAAATGCCCTTCTTTTCTTTGTGCAACTGGTTTCAGCTTCCTCCTCCTTTAGCCTAACGGTCAGCCGCCCATTGCCACCCTCCACCTCCTCCCCAGTCATGGCACTGGCAGGCATTACATTTGAAAAGGACGTTAACACTGAGTCTGTAGCAATAAATATCTCAGTATTGGGGAAGAGAAAGAGAGACTTCAAAGCAATCTGTTAAAGGGTGATCAGGAACAAGGCTCTGAGGAGATGCCATTGTGGGGCTCCCAATGATTCTCTTCTGTTGGGGTCCAGTTCAAATCCCTTTTACAGCATTTTTGTTTTAAAGGATTCTGCAATCAGCACTGAGTTGAGAATGTTGCACTCAGAGTATGAGCCAGAATAGAATCCAGGTCACCTTCCTTGAGCTGGATTGACTCTGCAGGGCTAACCAACGTAAAATGTTTTTGGGTCAATAAAGCAGAAGTAACTTACAGACTCACTGGGAGTAGCTCTAGTAAGAAGGAGAGGCAGGCCACATTCTGCAGCCTTTTCTCAAACTGACTAGCACTTACTCAGATCCAGTGAGGGACGTTTGTAAAAAGAATAAATATTTGCCTGTGATTTAGACTGGTGCTGCTGCTTCTCTCTCTCTCTATATATATATATAATATAGCCATGAGATTGTTTGTGGTGTCATGTGCAATCTCAATTGTTAAACATGAGATCTGGCTGCAGTCTGAGGGAGTGTGTGTGAGCTGTGTATTCTATCCTATTCTGGTTTTTGTAGGTTTTTATACTGCACTCATCACCATAGTATCTAGCGCCTTCCAGCTATGTATTAAGCAGTGTGACTAATATTTGTGACGTGTTTTTTCTCCCATCCTCTCCCTGGAGGAGAAGTATGTGCAGTGGATTGGTTTGGAATTGTTTTATTATATACAGTATAAAATTTGTGCATTAGTTCTATTTTCTATATACCCACAGATGCATATGTCGCTACATGTTTCTATTAGAGAAGCCAAGACCAAAGGAATGCACCTTGTCCTAGGAGTGGAAGGTGATGAAGTTTGTGATGATGCTTAGTTCCTGGGGGAGTTCATTTCCCCAGTGTTGCACCTGCTCCTGAAAAAGCACTGTCTCCTGCACAGACAAACTTTACCTTAACTGTAGTTCCATTGTGCCAGAGGAGTGAAGTTGTCAATGTGACAACAGGCTACCACCAGTGAGTCCTTGATCTGCAAAGCACCAGACAGAGGACTCCCAAAAGAGACTGCAAAGTTTGCATTTTATTTTATTTTTACAGATAATTTTAGTAAAATATAAACATCTGTTAGCGTTGATGAAGTAGGAAGATTCGGTTTAGAAGAGTTCCCCATTCTCCCAACCCTGCATGGCATATGGTGGCACCTGTAATGTTGTTTGCTCTGCTTGCCACTGTCATTCCATGACATTTTTAGTCAGGCATGCAATTCCACACTTGCATGAAAAATGTTGTTCTCCAGGTGGCATGACCTCACACATTCTGTGCAGGAGAGGTTGTTCTACAATATGGTGTCCTCCGTGTACATTCGGGGACTGGACAGAATCATCCCATGGGCACAGCTGGCTTGGGCAGACAATGTGTGCCTTGCATATGCAGATGGCATGCCACCACTGCTTGCTAAGATTGTTTCTCTGCCTGAAGAAAGTAAGAGGTGAAGTTTCAAGGGTCTGAGTGATTAAAATAAAAGTTAGGTGTGTCAAAGTATGCTAGTATAAAAGTTGTGCCCTAACGAGGAACAGCTCCAATTGTTATTTGGGGGAGGGAGGTTTCTACAGTGCTTTTGGATTAGTGTTAGCAGAGTTGAATAGTTAACATGTTGCACCTTCTCCAAGGTGCAACGTTGTCAAATTTACACTCTGCAGGTCGATTTCCCATGTTCTTGGCTGTCTGCTTCTCCTTCACACGTGCTTTGCACTGGGTCTTTACGCTATGGTTTTCACTTCCATTGTTTGACACCTGCCACTGCTTCTCTATTTAACCCACTTGTAAATGTGTCTTACAGACTCCACTCTGTTCCCAGTCCACAGAGGATATGAGTTTTGTTACAGCCCCACCCTGCCGGTTTTAGTTCAAGCCATTTAACAGCTTGTGTTTTGAGTGCCGGATGGCCCCACTTCAGTTCCAGGTATGTCAGCCAAGACGGCGGCCAGCACAGCTCCAGGGCTTTACATCTCTATGAGCCTCCCCACAAACTTGAATGCAAGTTTGGGATTTGGGAACAATTCCACTTAGAAACCATTTTCAATAAACTTCTGGGGTCTAGGAACGGGTCACTCCCATGGGGGCTCATCCTCTGCCCCCATTTGTCTATTTTATTCAGCTGCTGCGTCCTGTCTGCCATGTAGGTGGGGAGCTCTCCGGGATAGGGACCATCTTCTTCGTTCCATGGGGGCACCGTGCCTGGCACAACAGATCCCTGGTCTTTGACTGGCGTTCCCAGACGCTCCCATGCTATACACAGGAATGGGCGCAGCACACGAGTCTCCGGGGTGGGGGAAGGCTCCTTGAGGGGCATCGCTGGCTGGAGAAATGCCTGCCCCAGACAGGGCCTTGCCCTGGAAGGGCCCGGAGGGGTTCAGGCCAGCTGCAGGTTGCGGAAGCTCATTGTGACGAGGCTGGGCGACCAGAGCGTGAGTGTGAAGGAGGAGGACGGGGGGCGTGGTGGGTCATAGGCGCCTCTGTCAGCCAAAGCCCCAGGCATCGGGGCTGTCCCGATAAAATCGGGGCATCCGGTCCCCCGTGGCAGGGCTGCGAGGTGACGCCAGCCCCAGCGCTCCAAGGGCTGTGATGTCACAGCAGTGACGTCACCGAACAGTGACGTCACCGGCGCGGGAGGGGGTGTCACCCGATGCCACGGGCCTGGGGCTCACCCTGAGCTGGGCCAAGGCGGGGGGGGGAGTCGCGACCCCCCCGCGGGCCCCGCTCAGCTGCGCTGGTTCTACCCGGCCCCGGAACCGCCGGCGGCGGCCCCTGGTTTCCGCGGGGACCCACTTCCCGGACGGACCCGGCCCCGGCCCCGGCCCCGGCCCCCTCCGGACGTGGCCCGGCAGGTGAGGCCCGGCCGGGGGGGAGGGGAGGCCGCCCCCCCTCGCCCCTGGCGGCTCCTGCCCCGCCCCCATCTCCCCAGGGTGCGCTTCCCGAGCGCCCCCTGTCCTTGTCCTCCGCCCTCTCGGGGCGCCCCGGCCTCCCCCCTCTCGGGGGGCACCTGCCCCGGCGCTGCCCCCCCCCGGTGCCTGCGCGCCCGGGGGGCGGCCCGTGTCCTGCGCCAGCAGTTGTGCAAGTCCCGCTGGGGGGGGTGTCCGGGGGTCGGGGGGGGGGGCGGTTCGTGCTGTCTGTGCCCGGGGGGGCGGGGGGCGGATCGGCGCAGTGCCTGTGCTCTGTGCTTGCCTGGAGGGGGATACGCCAGCCTCGGGGGGGGGGCCTGGCTTCCATGCCAATAAAATATGGCAACAAACAGTAACACTGAAAATACAAACTGTTTTGAAGTTTTTCCACACCTCTTTAAATAAATCCCACCACCCTGAAACCACTTCCTCCAGTCGCAGTGTGCATCCCCACATCTTCCTTCTCCTCTGTCTGGGGGAAATTCTCCCTCCTTTTCCTGATCCACATTTAACAGGAGCCCCCTGGGATTTGTTGAGTTGTCTAAATTTCTGGGTGGAAGTGCTGACATAGAGCTGTTTGGGAAGTTTGAAAGCATCTGGTCTTTCTGCAGACAACAGATGTGAGTTTCTGTTAGTTTGAGGGAAGCGTTTTTTTCACACACTTCAGAGCAGCACGCAGGCTGATGCAGAGGAGACAACGGCAGAAAGTTATCTGGTGGCCAGCTTGTGCTTCTGGTTTGATCATGCTCTGGGACGATGGAGCACACTCCTCCTTTTGCAAGATTAGTTACAGTGGCAAGAGCTGATCTTGGAAGAGATGCAGTGATAACCACGTGTCTGAGGTCAGGATCAGACCCTTTGACTAGCTCAGCAAAAAGTGTGTTCCTCAAGTCATCTAGTGTGTTTTTATAATTACATTTGTATTTATACTGTGACCAAGGTGAGATTAGATAATGGGGATTTGTAGAGACACATTTGAAAGAGGAGATGAGTTAGAGATGGAATAGCAAGGAATGATTTAGGAAAAGTTTAAGCAAGAGATAAATTTCTTAGCAGTGAGGGAATTTGTGCACTGGCATGAGCTTTCTTCCTAGGGTGTAGCTGGACCACTCTTACTAGAGATGTTTGAGAGATGGCTCGGGGCCTAGGAGTGACTGAGGTCACTGAGTGAGCCTTTGTGTCCAGTCTCCAGCAGAGTCATAGGTGCTAGAGATGCAGCTGACCTATGTTACTTTGTCACCTCATTCATTCACAAAGATCAGAGCAGGGCTGCATCCTGGAAGATGTCTTCTGGTGTTTTGTGTGGTCTAGTTTCAAACGCCTAAAGCAACGGGCAGTGTTTTCTCTATAAATTTGACTCGTAAACTGACGGTATTGCGGGTTTACAGCGTAGAGCTGCTGAGCCCAGTCCCTTTTTTGCTCCTTCAGCAACTGCTGTGCTTCAGCATAGGAAAGAGAAGCGTGATGATGGGGCGTGTTGTGCAGGTGGAAGAATACGGGTAAGACTGTAAATAATGTGAGGGCGTCTGTAGAGAAGCTGTGGCTTGCAAGGAAATAATCCATCAGTTACTTTATGCTTATGCTTAATTTCATTTTAACCGGTATGTTGTTTTCCTCCTGAAAGACTGAACCGTAGCATCATCTGGAATAAGTGACAGGTTTCTACTTTAAATCCCAGCTGGGTTTCCTAAAAGGATTTATACCACCATCTAGTCTACGTATTGTTAGTGGTCATGTGTGAACAATACATGGTTATTAGTGTCTTGGAAAATGAACTGACATTGATAAATCTGTGACAGTTACCCAGTTACTTTGCATTGTACTGTGGCTCCATTAGCATTCTGAGATCACCTTTGTTTGCTTTTTACTCCTAATTTGAGAGCTGTGAGGCTGGCTCCTGTTTTCCTACCTTTAGACCTATAATTTCTGGCTGAGTAAAGCATTGGAGTGGGGAGCTGGGGGATGGAAACACTGTCTAGGGTGAAGGGAGAATGTTAACTCCTTATGTATCAGTTTGTTAATCCCATAGTTCCTGCTTCTCTGGCCAGTCCTAGCTGGTTTGGGGTTGTATTCCCCTCCCCACCTTCAATTGTGGTGGTGCATTATCGTGTATAGAATTTGGATCCCACAGTTGCCCATAATTACCACTGTCTTTTCTGCCACTCATTGCAAGGCTTTGTGATGTCAAGAGCTGGGGTGAAACCACCACATGTACTTTCACTTGTTACCTTAGCCATAGTAGGGTAGGGTTTGAACCTTTCTCCAAAGACAGAAGCTAGTGCATTGACTTGCTGTCTTGCTCCTGCAGTTCCCATCCCACGGCAGCAGGTCTTGCACAGCTGTGCATTCTTAGTCAAATTTGATTCCGGTTTCTGATGTAGCGCTCTGAAAAACTGGTAAAAGAAAGGAATCTGCCCCAGCCCTTGCCCAACTAGCACTGTCCAGCACTTCTGTAATACTATACACAGTTGACACAAGTTCTGTGAAGTCCATAAATGCACAGGACCAGTGAAAGCTGCTGCTGCTTATTGTTCCATTAAATCTGCGCTGGCACTGTGGTGAAAAGAGGATAATGTAAGTCTCTGAAGCTGCAGTTTTGAAGTGGTGGCTACACCTGGCTCTTTGAGCTTTACACGGGAAACCAACTAAGCCAAGTGTCGTTAATGATACTGGCTTGGAACTCTCTGCTCTTCAGTGACACCATGGAAATGCAGTCAGTCCCAATTAACACCCCTGTTAACATTCCGTATGTGCTCTCACCAGCAATCTGGCCTTGGGGCTACTAGTTAGAAAGAGGTGATTCTGGTTTTGCTAACAGTTTATGTTGCCTTTTTTTCTTTCTTTAAATTCCTCTGTAAAGAGGAACGTGAGAAATGGAAAGATGTTGTGCTGGTGTTGCCTGTTTCGTTTTTTCCGTGTCATTGGTGTGTGTCATGTGCGTGCAGTGACCACACCTCGTAGTGTACAGCCCACTTCCAGATATCTCTGCACTAAGTCACGGGCTTCATTGCGGAAGTAGAAATTGAGGTTGTTCCGCAAAGAAGTTTCTGATTTGGGAAATTTCATTGGTGTGGATGAGAGAGACAGGAAAGCTCACGGCTGCGTCTATGCAAAAACTAAATAAAAATCCATCATTGATGGTAGGTGTTAGCAACGGGCATCTGAGCTGGTGCCAAGCACAGCTGAGCTGCACGGCATTTGGATTTTCCATTGATCCAAAGTTGCCAAACAAATTCTCTGGTTATTTGTTGTTTCTGCTACTTCACGCTACAGGGGGCTGTGTGATGGTTTCGGAGCCCTATGAAGTCAAATGGCCAGTGACCCCGTCCTTGAATGCAGCACTCCTACATCTTTTCCTTTTTGTGAAATGAAAGTTTAGATTCAGTTGGACAGAAGATGGCTTGTTTTAGTTTCACTTTAAGGATGCTTCACTTGTTGAGTTAAACTTTAATAGTCACTGTTACATAAGAAGCAACATAAAGTCCTTTCTCTCCTGCCCTTTGCCATAGCCCTTTCCTTATTTTTCTTCCTCTCCTTGGCTGGGTGTCTGTGACAATCAGTGTGTGGCTCAGGACAGCGTCAACCAATCAGAGTCTTCCCTTTCTTCCTACTGGGCCTTATGGTCCAGCTCACAACCACCGTTCCAGTGTTAGCAGTGCCCTGGAGACCCTCTTACTCACAGCTCTAGCTCAGTTTCTCCTGCACCCTTCTGTAGCAGTTTCTTCCTGATGCTACCAGTGTAGTGTCACTCTGCCCTGCCACTGGAGGAACAACAAGCTGCAGCCACTACGGTAGCACAAACATATTGCTTTAAAAAAGAAGTGGCTGATGAATAGCATTTAGACATTCCTAACATTTGTCTCCATCGCTGTAAAAACAAGAGAGTCTTTTTCTGAACTTCTCCCACGAGAGAGTGGACTTTAATGTCATCGTGCAACCTGAGCAGAATGTGTAACTCTTATGCGAGCCCATAATCTTCCCCCGTAACGGTGGGGACTGTTGCTTCATCCCAGTTCCCTCGTGGATGTTTTTCTACGTTTCTGAGCCTTGATACAATTTAACATGGTTCACACACACTGTGTAGGAGAGGTAGTAGGTGGGGTTCAGTGGTAGGGTGCGCGCCCGGTCAGGATAGCGCTGCACTGGTAGAGCTGGTGGTTGGGGGGGCAGCCAGCCGAGCTCATGCTGCCACGTTGCCTGGCTCTAGTCAATGCTGTTAGTTTCCTGCTGTCCAAGCTTTATTCAGAAATGCTGTAACAAATCCCACAAGTCAATAGTGGTGGGTATTTGCTTGCTTGCTTGTTTTCATTTGGAAAACCAGCTGCTTGGCTGTAACGTATGGTGGCTGCACTCTATGCTGTTTCTGCCTACTCTGGCTGTTGTGCCCATTCTGTTAATGTTGTGTCATGTAGGTCAGAACCTTGTGCCTTATACAGTACCTGTGATGATCAATCAGATCAGAAGGGGGGACAGGCCTCCTTTGCTTATTTTCTTCAGTCATTGGAAGTGTTGAGTTGCTACAGGACGGCATCAGTAAGCATTAATTACTGTGCTAAACTCACTTGTTAAAAATAAATGCTTTTTTAATGTACATTTTTGTATTAAGTTATATTGTGATTTAGAGATTCCACTGTGAGTGCTTCGGGCTGTCTTCCTGCGTGTGTAGGTGGGGCCTAGCACCTAAACAGGCTTAGAATGAAAGCTACCCCCTTTTCCTTTGTGTGAATATTTTGTGTAAATTCCTGGATATTCCCACTCCCTGCTCATTGGTTCACATAATTTCTCTCTGCAGCATCGAGTCTGATCAAGTAATGCTGGCAGAATGTTGGGCTCCTGGATATTTTGCCATGTGAATTTACCCATGCGATGTCTTGTTCACGGAGTACACGGCTGGAGGTGGCCTGCCTGTAGATGGAGGAATGTTGGACATTTCAAAAAAGGCTTGCATACCACAAGAACATCATTCAGTGCTAGGGTTACCCCCGTCTTCACCAGAGCTTTGGCTTTTGGTGATAAAATTGCCATCATTGATCAAAATGGAGAGCACACATACAGGGACCTTTACACTCAGAGTGTCCACTTGTCTCAGCAACTCTGTGAAGTGCTCGGGTGTTCCAGTGGAGACCTAAAGGAAGAGCGGATCTCGTTTTTATGCCCTAATGATGCCTCATACGTGATTGCCCAGTGGGCTTCCTGGATGAGTGGAGGCATAGCTGTTCCTCTGTACAGGAAACACCCAGTGCAGGAACTGGAGTATTTCATCCAAGACTCCCAGAGTAGTCTAGTCATTGCCACGGAAGAATATGTGAGGGACATAACCCCTAGTGCTGAGAAACTGGGATTACCTGTTCTGCCACTCATTAACTCTGGTAGCAATGGCTGTGCAAGCGATCGGGCTGTGGAAGCATTCCCCTTGGCAACTGACTGTCCTGAGTGGAAAGATAGAGGAGCCATGATAATCTACACCAGTGGGACTACAGGAAGACCAAAAGGCGTCCTTAGTACCCATCAGAATGTGCAAGCTGTGGTGAGTGATACTTCCCTCATGGTATACTAATGGCACGTTATTGGAGGTCAGTTTTGTTCAAAAGTGACTAGTGATTTGGGGTGCTTCCTGCTGGGTGTGCAGCTTGAGCAACTGCACTCTGAAAATCCAGGCCCCCCTAAAGTGTCTCAGGTTGACACCCAAAACGATTAGTCATATTTGAAAATCTTTACGGGTATGTATGCACTGTGGCTTAGGCTCTCGTGGGTGGGCGGGTGCTTTCCTGCAGGGGTGGTAGTGACTCTATAAGTTGCCTGTTTTACTAGTTGCTTTTCTGCAAGATGACTTAAATGTATCCATGCCCCTCACTGAAGTATAATTTGATCCAGCACGTCACTATTATGTAAAGTCTGTGCATTATTTAGCTATATATCCCCAAGGCAAAAAATCCATTAGCTATCTGAGCCAAAAAGAGTTAGAAGTCTAAAGGAGTGTTCTGATTGCCTTGCCAGTTCAGTGTCGCTGCCTGCAGCTGATAAAATCACACCATTAAGGGGAATAAATACACTGCATCTCAAAGATGTGGTATCGGACTAAAATGGTTCTAGATACTCTGATACTGTGGTGAGAGGGGCAGTATAAGAACCTAGACAGAGAGAACAAGGGCTTGACTGTATTGAGGAAAGACTCTTTCCTCACAAGCGTTCAGATCATTTGGAAAGCAGACTGAACAGTGGCTGTGTCTGGCAGTTTGGTGCAAAACACCAGGGTTGTAGCGGCTGGATAAAATCTGCCCTCCCCACTACAGGAAGGGGGAATGGAATTGTGAATGACACTACCAGATTCCAAAAAGAAAAGGAGTACTTGTGGCACCTTGGAGACTAACAAATTTATTTAAGCACTGTTCAAATACCTTTTCTTTTTAGACAAGCTGGAAATCACCTCTTTGACTGCAAAGGTTAGGCTCTGAAAGGCATTGTCCTGCCTAAAAGGGCTCAAACTCGAGTGCTTTCGAATAATTTTTTCTTTTGGAAGCTTAAAATTAATATTTTCCCAGTATTGGGTTTATTTTCCTTTCTATTTATGAACCATTGACTTCCTGCCCCCAATTTCTATTTCTCATGGATTCTAATAAGCCAGCACTGGTTAGCTTCTTTTTGTCAGCAGCATTATCAATGGTGTCAGCAAAGTTTCTTAGATAACTATTGTTTCTGCTGACTCTGGTTGTGCAACAGGAGGTTAACAATACCTAAACAGCAGCTATTAATTTCTAATTTTTTGGCAACATAGATAGAGTTATAGGTGCCTGTATTTATATACATATGTATTCTATAGATGCACAGAATGTTCCCATTCAGTTCTATTTTTATGATAGATGCTTTTCTCATGTTGGTCTCAAAGAAGAGACCCCACTTTCCTAGCATTGATCAAAGGGGCTATAGGTCTTCCACCGTGCAGGTTCTTGTCTGTTTTTTACTGGTGACACTTTCATTCGGACACCTATTTTTTCCCATTAATCCCCTGAATTTATGTTCACATTCAGGGCCCGGAAACTAGCCCAGGGAGGGACATGCTGCTACCAGCTTAAACAGTAGAGCTAGGGTTTGAGCTGGGGCTCCTGAATTAACCATGTTTTCTCTGTGGTTAGAGCTCTGTTCTGTGTCTGTGCTGGTGGCTCACCGTGTCCTAATGCTGGATTGTATATTTTTTCCCCAAGGTAACAGGGCTGGTTGACAAATGGGAGTGGACAAAGGAAGATGTTATCTTGCATGTGCTGCCTTTACACCATGTCCACGGAGTGATCAATAAGCTGCTGTGCCCTCTTTGGGTGGGAGCTACGTGCATCATGCTACCTGAGTTCAGCCCTCAGAAGGTAAGCCTGGAGGGAATGTGTGTTGGCTTTGAAATTCATCAGCAAAACCCCATGCATTCTAATTAGAGTAAGTTTGGAGACAGGGTCTTAAACAGTTCTAGCCTATTTAGCTTTTGGTTGCGTCCAGGTCATGAATTGTCTTGTTAAAAAGACTTTGAACTGAATATTCAATCTGGGGCAAAGCAGCTTCTCTGGGTGGTTTTAACTTGTTTGATTATTAAACTGCTAATAATCCATAATATTACACTATGCTCCTTGGTAACGCTAGGAGGTACATGCTGTCAAACCAGGGCACTACACACAGAATAATAACAGAGTTAATTTAGGATCAGGAAAGATGAAAACATAATTTACTCTCTTGTTTTGTCACATACTGTACCTTAGCAATGCATTGCCTCAAACACTTAACGTTTGCTTTGTATTTCCATATTCAGTAGCTCGCAGTAGCCCTTTTCTGTGTTAAATACACTCACACTCAATGTCTTGTGTGGTATGTTGCTGGTGTTAGAGTTTCTGGTGCCCCAGATGAGACTAATACAATGATACTTGATATTTATATGCAAGCTCTGCTTTTCATCCTCCAAGCTCTTTAGAAACATTAGTAAATTCATCAAGATTAGACTGGATAGCAGGTTCCTACTCTAGGCCACAATGGGAAAGAGTTAGCAAAATTGAAACTTTTCAGAGTCCCTTAGGAAAGGTGGTGGTAAGCAGACTGTCCTCATCAGATTACGAGCAGAGATGCTGTTAGAATGTTGTTTTCCTGCAGATGCAGGAAGCCCTGGGCCTGGTGCTTTGCTCTGCTGTGGTACCTTGGCAATGCCCGCGGTTTTAAAGGGGAAAAAAGTGGTTGTAGCAGAGTGTGTGTCTGTTAATGGAGAAGAACACATTTAATCTGTTTCCACCTGGGATTGCCTTTGCCACCGTTGTGATGGTGCTGCTTGTTTGTAGAGTCCCTAAGGCTGGTCCTGAAGAAGAATTTGGGAGATCACTCTGGTCCATCCTTTAATTCATTTAACAACCTAACTACTGTGGTGATGGGTCCTGTAGAAGACCCTAAGGTAGGGAGATGGGTTTGTCTTCTACCCAAAGTGTGTAAATATCACTTTGTGAACAATGTGCCAAGCATTGAGACCAAATGTGATTTGAGGAGAGACATATGTTTATGTTCCTCTTCCCTGGAGACAGCCCCATCCGGTAGACTGGTGAGAAGGCAGCAGTCTGATAAGAACGTGTGATCTAAGTGAGTCTGACAGAAATAGGTGAAGAGAAGATAAAGGAAGCTGGAGCACTGGACTCTAAAATGGCCATCCTTTGTCATGCATGTGGCATTCACGTTCCAGGTGTGCTGCAGGTGTCGGGGCTCCTGTATTCTCAGAGCTAGGGGAATCATTTCCTTAAGATAAGCTGAAACAGGATGGACATTAAGGTGGCACTATAAAATGGAAAATCTTGGAAATCTTCTAACCTCAATCCCAGGTTCCTTCGCTTGTTGCTCACTTCCTGCTACTCTGAGCCCTTGCTGCTCAGAGATTTGGGCCCAGCTGCTTGTTGGAAATGCACCATGCAAGATCAAATAAATACAACTTGAGAAATGCCTGGCTATGCCTAACCCGCTCCCCCCCCACCCCCCATGTAATGCCAAAGAGCATGTGAGGGGAGGAGTTCAGGATAGCTTAGGTTGTCATTGCAATACACCTTATAACTCATCAGTTCAAGCTCTTCTGGAAAGTGATGTGGGAATTCAACAAGCAAATAAAATATAGAAGGGAATAAAGTACAATAAACAACAGTGCCGAACGCTTCCCCTCTTATTTCATGGCAGGCGGGGGAGAGGGGGATTTTTTGCCATGCAGTCCCCATCTCCTTGCAGAGCTATGCAGAGCAGCAGATTAAAGTTATGCACTTCAAGGCGCTGGTGCCTCAAGGCCTAATTCTGCTTTGGTCAGTGGAGTTACTCAGCGTTAATACCACTGTAGCTGAGATTGGAATTTGGCACCGGTTCCTTTGTGGCCAGAAGGCTCAGTGTTCAGTGAATAATTGGGCTTTCAGGTGCAGATGCCGGCTTTAAGTGGGAACGGATGTGTGCATTTTCTGAGATTACTTCTTATAGAAGCATAAATTGATAATCAGTCCTGCAGCCACCCCAGGGTAAGACCAGGACACACATATTACTAATGAGCAGCCATGGTCAGAGGCTTTTAAAATTATACTGTGCTCTCTCTGTATGCTTCAGGTCTAATAAGGCTACGTGGGATATATAGAGAGATATGAGCAAATGCAAGAAATCGTTGTCCTGTTCACTTGTCGAACACAGACGTGTCTGACTCCTTTCACTCTCCCAGGGAGTTCTCTACAGCCCATGCTGACTTCATTTTACACTTTCCACCTTGAGTCCCCCACAGCAGTCACCATCCTTCCAGATGTGGAGGAATGGAAGGAAACCTCCATCAAAGCCTGTCCTAATCTGGTGAATGGCATAAGAAAATTCCTTCCCTGAGGGCTAAGCATGCTGCCCCCACAGCTCCTGCAGTGAGCAAGCAGTCAGGATAATACCCAGCAGTAGCTGGCCACTGGCTCTGCCCAGCATTAATATTTCAATTTAAATATATAGTGTATGTGCATAAAGCGTTTCAGATGGATACAGGTCCTCTTTGGGGTATGGCAGCAGGTTTAAAACAAACCAAAGGAAGTATTTCTTCACACAACGCACAGTCAACCTGTGGAACTCATTGCCAGAGGATGCTGTGAAGGCCAAGACTATAACAGGGTTCACAAAAGAACTAGATAAGTTCATGGAGGATAGGTCCATCAATGGCTATTAGCCAGGTTGGGCAGGGATGGTGTCCGTAACCTCTGTTTGCCAGAAGCTGGGACTGGACAACGGGATGCATCGCTTGATGATTACCTGTTCTGTTCATTCCCTCTGGGGCAACTGGCATTGGTCACTGTCGGAAGACAGGATACTGGGCTAGATGGTCTGACCCAGTGTGGCCGTTCTTATGTTCTTGGGGTCCAGTCTGAGTACTGTTCTTCCCTTGATATTTAAAATCACTGCATCCTTAGCTTCCCCGCTCCAGTCCTTAAAGTCTTTGGGAAGAACCTTCTTTGAAACCCTCACCTCAACAGAACACACAGACTAAGAATATTTAGCATTTGCAGTGCTTGACAGCTTCCAAATACTGTCCTGACCTATTGCAGAAGGCAAGGCCTTGGTGCTTTGCTAGCTTTGGTGATACACTGAGGCAGCTAATTGCAGGCGGGGTCAGGGTGAAGAGCACACTGATAGTCCTGAAGCAAAGCCAATCCAAAGCCCCATGTGCATTTCTCCCCATCCTGTGGCATCTCATGATTGATTGTCCCTTGTACTCTTGTATTTCTCTGAGCTGCTCTCCGGACATCTGCAAATCAATGAGTTGATGCTGAAGAATGGGCTCTGCTGGGAGGAGGGGGATGCTCAGTCCTGCATTCCCCAATCAGATTGCTCAGTGAGAATTGACAACCAAGGGCAAGCGAGGACTGCGCTGGAGGGGATCCTTCACTTTGACCCAGAGGGCTGAGCTCAGGTGGGGCAGTCTGCATGGAAAGTGATGCAGGAGCAGTGAGCCAGCTCCATTCCAAGAGCTCTCAGGTGCGGTCGGGCCTCTGAAAGACATCATTTGCCTTTTTTATTGTTTTCATTCCCTTTATTTTTCCAAGGGCCTCCCCTGGGAGCTGAAAGTGGTTTGATCGACACTACAGAGAAAGCACACGAGGGTAAAGTAGGCTTTCTTGTGGAGTTTAATGCAAGCTTCTTTTCAGTTCCAGTCGATTTTCACCAGCTGTTTACAAAATGCCCTTTGCTACCAAAATCAGCTTTCAGAAAAGAAGCACAGTTTCAGTGGAGGATTTCGCAGAAGGAGTCTGAGTTTTGCTGCTTTTTTTTTCTTCACTGCACCTTGAGAAAACAGTCAATTACAGTGTGATGTAAAGAAACCCAAATGGCAGCTAAAACACTTGACATACTGATCAAAACAAGGCTAGGAGCATACTCTAAATCTGCAGCAGACATATTTAGCCTTGAGTGATATTGGCATGGGTTCAAGAGAAACCACAGCAGCATGCCCAATGTGCCTTTGGTTTCTAATGACTAACACTTCATTATACAAAATAAATACTTTATTATTTCAGTGTTCATTAAATTACATAATTTGTGGCGTGCCTTATAATCTGAGATACAGGTGCCAGTCTGGTTTAGTTGGTGCATTATTTCCTCTTAGCTAAAAGATGGTTCACGTCTCAGATAAAGGCTTGGTTTGCATCCTGTGTAGTGTGGTGTTAGGAGTTGTTTTTCAGACCCTTCTGCCTGGTTCTGGCAACTGCCCAGGAGGAGGTTAAAGATCAAGGTTCTGGAACGACCCCAGTGTCCTGGCCAGCATTCCCTCTCTACCAGCATCTGATGTCCGAGGCTGCATGTGAGCTATTGTGAAGCTCACAAAAGGACTCATTAAAGTGTACTGAGATGCCTCAAGCATGAAAGTTGCTTCATAAAATCAGATTCTCTTTATTAAACGAAGACGTATGTTACTCTGCTCTAGCTACTATACCTGTTATAATTCACTTTATAGCACCATCTGTTAAGAATGTCTTGGTTAAGCTTATTGTAGCATCCTTTTATTGTAAGTTATTAAAGAATATAGCTGCATCTATTAATCATTTGTTAATAAAGGGTTTATAAATGGACCCTTAATTCCCACCATTGCTTTCTGCTCCTTTCAAGTGGCATTTTAAGTACCTTGGTGTGTGCTCCTTTGGGAACGTAACATGCCCCCGTGGAGGGAACTGGGCTCAAGACACACACTCTACTGCCTCTTGGGCCAGTGGGGCTAGATATGTAATAGAAGTAGCACATTCCACGCATGGGGTGTGTGTCTTATTGCACTGGAGTGACCTTTCTGTTTTTCTTGGGAACAGTGTTACGTGATCTACAGCGAGCCATAGAAACTTCCTCAGCCACATGG